GATTGGGATGAGTATGTGAAGTGTTTATGCACTACTAGGCACAATTACTGCATGCTAGTACTGTCTTATTATTTTGTATAATAAATATTTTTAAAAAAAAACATAATTCATGTATCTGAGCTCCAATAGCATTGTTAGGGAAAGAAGGATGTGTTTTGATAAGCTGAAATGAACCAGCAAGAAGATAGTCGTCATAGTGGTAGCATTTTTTTTTTAAAAAAGGTTCATTCTAAGATGAACTCAGTACACAATGTACTTGGTAGACTCAGTTCCAAAATTCAGCAGCTGGGTTGAATAGTAAGATGAAGGGAAGAGAGGAATTAGATTTGCTATGGAACCAATGTAGCCCCTCAGGAGTCTTGAGGTTTGGCACAAAATCCAATCTGTAATTTAAAGCTCTTATTTTCAAAGTATTTTAAAATTAATATACTGCTAATTCATACAAGTGTTGGATCTGTCCATTCTTTTCTGTTAAGGCAAGTGTCTTTCATCAGCAGATATTTGGTCATTGGAAGGCCTTAGCATAAACAAGAACAGTTTTAGTGTACCACAGCCAAACATAGTACAACTGAGTAGAAAATATTATGGCCCATCAGTGAATTTATCATTCATCTATGTTGAAATACTTATAAAAGAATAAATTACTTTCATATGGTAAAGCAAGTTGTAACTCTTGAGCTAAGACTATCACAAAATTATGTTTATAGAGGAATTCCCCTTCACTGAAACATAATGTTCCATTACCAATATAAATAATTTTCACTGTTCACATAAAAAGTCAATTATTTGGGCTAACAATTATTAGAACCAATTGAGTCTAAATGACTGATTATTAAATCAGTGTGTAGAAAGATATAGGACTCGGAAGCTGCCTCGGAACCTGACTTTTTGGATGAAATGTATTACAATAGGGGATGATGAGGGAAGCATTAGTCCAGGACTATGAAGATCCTGGTTCAAATCCTGACTTGCATGAAATTCATTGGGTGGTTCTGAGTCAGTTGGCATTTTCCAACCTAAACTATCTCACTGAGTTTTTCAGATAATAAAAAGATTGGGAAAAATCATGTAAGTGGTTTCTTCCTGGAGGAAAAAGTGGACTATATAAATTTAATAAATAACATTATAAAGATATATCCTTCAAAAGATATGTCCTTCACTTCAGAGTAGCCACTGATCTACTTTCAAGAGCGCTTGTTAAGAATGTCAGAAGAGTCAAATACAATTGTCACTGTTGCTGATAAGGTTATTTAGTGACAACACTGAAGAAAATGTACGTAAGAAAAGCACTGAAACTCTGAAATTCTACTTCGGAACTAATTATTATCAAAATATGATTCAGTTATATGTGACCCCTTGGTCAAATATAACCACCGTCATCCTTTCTCCTAAAGAGTTCATATGCAACCAATATCAAAAACTAACCATGAATAGAAAACACTTTGCAAACACCACATCAAACTACAAATGTACTGTCTGAGATGACCAGGGCAAAAGAATGTCTATGTTTCTGCATCCACTTTGATGTAACCTGAAGCCAGTTCTGCATAAAAGAATGCTTAAGAGAATGCGTCTGGCTCTGATAATCAGGTACAGTAGAGGTTTGTCAAGTATCTCTCAGATTCTGATAGTGAAAACCAGTGACGTACCAAAAGAAAACAAGGGTCTGATATTTGAGATCAGTAATTCACAATGACATCTTTCATGTTCATTCATCCAGAAGCACGCTAGTTCAAATTAGTATCTTATGTGTGGCAATCAATACAATCATTTTTGGAGCAGAGAAAGGACAAAAAGTTATGAAAACCACAGAGGAAAAGAAAGACAGACAAATTCAGACTGTTGTTGGTACCCCATAAGACATATTTCCTACAGAAATGTTTTTAAAAAAATAACAGCTACTTTGATCCACAACAGAAGCAACTGCCCTCTTGAAAACTCTTGATTCTAAAAAGTCAGTTGAATCCTGATAACCTGCTTTCTTTACAAGAAATAAAAGAGAAGAATGGTATAAATACATGGAAAAAGTGTAATGGTAACTATCTTGTATTTTCAGTATACTTTACTGAACCAGTTTTTCTGCACTGTCACGAAGTAACCTAACCAAGATGCTGCAATATGATTCCAAAGAAGGTGCCGTGTTGTGTGTTAATTTGTATGGCTGGACACAGTTGAGTATTAAGATGGAGAGGCATAGAAAACTTTTAAATAAATAAACAAGGATGCCATCTTCTCAAAATTGGTTCAGCAGACTTGAGGATTAAGGGACCAAAGTAACCAAGAACTGATGAAATTAATCAGATAAGATGGGTGATTTCCTGATCCAACCTTCCAATTCTATGATCATCCATGAAAGACTTTCCTTTTATTCTTTATCTTTAGAAAAAAAAAAGAAGGGCAGCCTTGTTTTCACTTGAAAGGAAGCTCATCTGATAAACCTGTACTCTTTAAAAAAAAGGTTGACAAGGAAGGAAATGCATGTAAACGACACTCGAATAGGATCTGGGTCAGAAAAGTAATTTAGTTTTGTGGATTTTTTTCCTATCCATATGTCAATCATGTCGAGAAAAGCTATTAAAAACATCATTTGGTATAAGTTATTTGTTTCTTACAGGACATCGTGAGAGAGAAAGGGGGAGGGAGGGAGGGAGAGAAAGAGAGAGAGAGATCTTCAATGAAGTTCTAAGAATTTTAAATAGACTGTCTGCTAACCTAGAAATAGCAAGGTCAGAGTGCAAACAGTTCCTGTCTTGAGCTTTGACAGGCACAGCTGTGTTTTAGAAGAATGAATGACTGACATAATGAAAGGAAGGGGATGCCCTGCAGTTTCAGAATGTATTGTGGTGTTCAGTTGTTAATACTAGCATAAAACACTTAATAAACTAGGCTTGGTATCCTCATCTATGGAACATACTTTCATGCTGATATTTCACTTGTAGAAGCACACCGTCTGTGATGATGGTCATTTCTCTACTAGCAACTTATAATCATTGATCTGTTGCTGTGACAAAATAGTAGTAATGAGGATATCATTACTTCCAAGGATGCCTGGATAATGCTATGAAAATACTACTAATGGGCACATGGTCTGTACATCCCTTTTAAGCAGTTGTAGGATAATGAAATTGAAAGGATAATAGCAAATAAATTCTCACTGAAATAATGATAGTAAACAATAGTAGATTTACAACCTTGCTTTCAAGTAACAATTACAACACTAAAGTTTGACCATATGTCGTGTAAAAGGGAAACTGAATTATTGGAGCACAATTCCCTTTAAAAAAAATGAGAGAGGGAGGGAAGGAAAAAGAAACCTGAATGAATTAGCAATCTGGACTTAAATTAAATCAGAGAGGAAATCATTGGAGTGTTTTTGGTTTAAGAAAATACAAAGATGAACGATTTTAAATTTACCTCTACATCTTTTTTAAAAAGCCAAAAAGCCCTAGCACTATTGTTATGCTGATTTAGATACTGATTTGATAAATCATTTCTCAGTTTAATGGAGTAATTTGAGAAGAGATTCCTGAAATTTAATTCTAATGAAAATTAAACTCCTAAGAAATTACCAGGAAAATCTGGATCTTGGTATGCATCATTTATTCATTCAATGATTTTTCCAGTGTTTGAAATGAGACTGCAATTTCCCATGGATTTGTCCAAAAAAAATTGTTTTATGTGTAATTCAGACAAAATGAAATAATAATTCATTAAAAACAATATATTAAAGCATAATAGGACCTTTTCAAACATGTGAGGGTTTTATTGTAGCAGTAAAGAATGTGAACACTTTGTGGTCAATTTCAATGAATGTTTAGCAAGTATTTCCAGAGTGAAATCAATATGAGAAGGAAAGAAAACAAATGGGATATTCTGGGAATCTACCTAATGCTTTCTATGTCATGTCAAGCACTGTTCGTATGAATTGTATTAGCAGACTTAAAGTGGATTTTTCCACTGGGATCCTCTAGGCTGGAGTTGCAGCACAATACAGTTCTTATCCCATACAAGTGGCAGCCTTGCATCAAACCGATGGGTACTGGGTGTCAGTAGGAAAAGGCAGGAAATGAAGGCAGAAAAAAGTCAGCTTCCGTTGGACCACATACATAAGTGACATGCCACAAACTACTCTCACACTCTCCTGCCATTACTCCTGCCATTACACAAAGTATCATCTATGCAAGGCAAGAACCATACTGCAGAACCATATTTCTTTATGCTTATTGAACTTGCAAACAAAATGGACTTACAAATATCCTGTTGGAAGATAACTCTTCATAAGTAGGGGACTAGTTGTATATGTATCACATGTCTACCAAGAAGTGATTTATGCTGAGTGTTATGGATTCTCCTAAGTATAGGGCTTTGGGTTAAAAAAAAAAGAAGAACTTTGACATCTCAGAAAATAAAAATCATATTTCTCCTTCCTTCCTTCACTTTCCTTTTTCCCTACTCCCTCTCTAAATAAAGTAAAGATTCCCCTGCACATGCATGGTAGTCATTTCCGGCTCTAGGGGCAGCACTCATCTCCGTTTCTAACGCGAAAAGCCAATGCTGTCCGAAAACATCTCCATGGTCATGTGGCCGGCACGACTAAATGCTGAAGGTGCACAGAGAGCGGTTACCTTCCCACCAAAGTGGTCCCTATTTTTCTACTTGTATTTTTACGTGCTTTTGAACTGCTAGTTTGGCAGAAGCTGGGACAAGTAATGGAAGCTCATTCTGTTATGTGGTGCTAAGGATTCGAACCGCTGAATTGCCAACCTTTGGATCGACAAGCTTGGCATCTTAGCCACTGAGCTACTGCATCCCTCCCCTCTCTAAATAAATCTTAGGGGGGGAAAAACAATCAAACTTGGTAGTAGCTTTATTTAATGAGTGGATTTTTCTCATTGGATCTCATTGGAAGGTATATTGGAGTTTCTTAAGATATTTATATCTATAATTAAACCTTTGCCACTGTATTCTTTTTATTAATATATTTTAATCACTTCTTTTACCTTTGTGTCATAATTTTGTAGGCATCAGGGAGGAAACATTCAGTATTCTCCATCTGGAAAGGATCAGCATCACAGATCTTGTCATCTGTCCGTCCATAATTAGCACTCTCTATCATAATGACATCACTTCCTGGACACCGAAGATCAATGGAGTAGCCCTCACAGGACAGTTCTCTCCTTACCAAACCAAATGGTAGTGCTGCTCGGCTAAAACCTAAAAAAAAAAAAAACACAATAAAAAATAGAAAACATATTGTATTATTAAATTATTCCCTCACAAATAAGTTAGAGAGATAACTCTAAAATACACCTTGGTAAACACGAGGACATTTTTAGACTTTTACCATTCCAGAAAGTGCCAGACAGAAAATGCCCACAGCCCACCCTGGATTTTCTATGTAGATGGATGGGAATATTCATATAATAGAGCAGCTTGTTCACATCCTTCTTGAATCATGAGTTAAATGTGGCCATTATTCTGAATGCATCATTTTATAAATAAACACATGGTTGAAATTTGTTCTTTAAAAAATAAATTACGAACTTTAGAGATTACAGGAAACATCCAGCAGATTTCAGGGTCCAAACAACTCAAACTCTGAAAGAACAATGAGTGGAATTTTTACACTAAGTCTGCAGTGGCGGCTGAGTGGCTGGGTCATTTTTTGGCCATCAGGTTTACAACATACTTTCAGCCAGGACCTTTGCTTAATGAGCCCTAGTTTGTGTTCTAACTAATTTAATTATTTTTAACAGATGTTTATGATTGGCTTTCTTCATCCTGGGTCAGCCCTTGCATTGACTTCACTTTAAACTCAAGCACTATGTCACAAGTATTATTTATTTTCCATGCTCTCTCCTGTTCCTAGCCTACTGCTGAACTCAGGACAGCCTGAGAAGTTTAAACAGCAAGGCTATGTTCTCTGCCTCAAAATAACAGAAAAAATAGGGCATCTACTTGTTGAAAAAATAAAAAACCCAAAACAATAAAACATTACAGGCTTATTCAACTTGATAATTTAAAACCAATGTGTTCTCAATTCTTCAGGTTTTTTTGTTCACTTTTTTTCCTTTCATCTCAGATCTGGTGCACAGGCGTGTGGGATTTGTATGTACAGTAGCTTTCTGCTGAATGAATTTTTTTGAGGTACGTGTTAATGTTGCTTAACTTCTTTTGCTTCCATGCAAACCATGATTGTATTTTCACAATAAATCTAATTATAAAATGGTTCCGTGGCAAATGTCCAACCTGCAGCTCCAACAATAGCCAGAGAGTTGTAAACTTGGTTTGTAAACCATTTTTCATACCAATTACCCAAACATATTATTTTGGTCCTGATTTATTTATCATAAATTATCCTCTGTGGCCTGTAGTGACTGGAAGTAGCATGTATTCTAGCCTGCATATTTAACCACTCAAAGTGGTTTTTAAATCGTGGCAAGGAGCCATGTGCAAGATTCTCAGTGGACATGTCTGTCACCCAACCATTTTACATTAAGTGTGATACGTGGGCAAACAAATTGGGATTTCCATCTTTATTAGATGCTGGGAATGCATGATCAGCAGAAAAACTACCTTGTGATGATAAGCTGACTGCATTTCACACTTCCGTAAAACCAGAATATTTTTCACAAGATATGCAACTATTTGAACCAACTCCAATTCTGTGAGAGCAGAATTCAAGGGCTATGTTGAACCAGAAGGAGAAGCTTCTTGCGAAGACTGCGCTCTGCAATCTCTGTTTTTTTTATAAGGACAGCACTGGGACATGTAACAAAATACAAAAGTCTTTTCAAGCATGTACAAAACACACAGCTCTTTCACTGGTAAAGCATCACAGCAGTTGCACTTAAAATCAAGGCTTTTTATTTCCACAACAGGAGATTCAACTTTGAGTCAATATTAAGCTCAGCACTTTTCTTCTGATTGTATTTACCCTCTGACAGCTGCAAGTTGCTGCCAGCTATTCTGCCAGCCTCGAATACCATTTGCTTATACACACAACTGAGTTAGCAACAACCCTATGCCTCACTGATAGCCTATGCTAACTGGGAAATATAACTGACACAGACGGAAAACCATCATGAAAAACAGGTGGGAGTACAATACAAGCCCATAGCCTGGGCCTCTGAAGAAGAAACATCATTACTGCATTTAACTTCCTCTTATTTCTCTTCACTGCGTGGAGGAGGGATCTAGTAGGTTTAGGAGATATGATTAGGACAAAGAGAAACGTACTGCAGTAGAATGTGTGTGTGAGTGTGTCTGTGTATGTATGTGTTGACTCCTGAAGATTGCCTGGACAAGTCCTTGAAGTATTTTTGGCAAAGTGTTTTGGAAGTGGTTTGCCATTGTCTCCTTCCTATATAGAAGGACTAGGGGAGACATGATAGCAGTGTTCTGATATCTCAGGGGCTACCACAAAGAAGAGCGAGTCAAGCTATTCTCCAAAGCACCTGAGGGCAGGACATGAAGCTATGAGTGAAAACTAGTCAAGGAGACAAGCAACTTAAAACTAAGGAGAAATTTCCTGACAGAACAATTAATCAATGGAACAGCTTGTCTCCAGAAGTTGTGAATGCTCCAACACAGGAAGTTTTGAAGAAGATATTGGATGATCATTTGTCTGAAGTGGTGTGAGGTTTCCTGCCTAAGCAGTTGGTTGGGCTAGAAGACCTCCAAGGTCCCTTCCAATTCTGTTATTCTATTCTATTCTATCCTGAGAGAATAGAATAGCTCAATGTCACCCAGCTAACCTAAAATGGGACTAGAATTTCAACAGTTTCTAGTTTGACCTTGACCACTTCACCAAACTGATGCTCACCTTAGTAATTAGCATATAGAGCTAGTCCTCGACTTACAACCACAATTGACCCAACAACATTTATGTTGTTAAGTGAGACACCTGTTAAGTGAGTCTTGCCCCATATTATGACCTTTCTTACCACAGTTGTTAAGTGAATCATTGTACTTGATAAGTTAGTAATCTGGCCGTTAAAGTGAATCTGACTTTCCCATTGACTTTGCTTGTCAGAAGACTGCAAAAGGTGAACATGTGACCTTGGGGCACAGCAATCGTTGTAAGTATAAACCAGTTGCCAAGCATCTGAATTTTGATCATATTTGTTTGTTTGTTTATTTATTTATTTATTTATTTATTTATTTATTTATTTATTTATTTATTTATTTATTTTTTATTTATTTTTTATTTATTTATTAGACTTATATACCGCTTCATAGGGCTTTCAGCCATCTCTAAGCGGTTTACAGATTTTTTAGCAAATTGAGTCAGCAACTTCCCCCCACAGTCTGGGTCCTCATTTCATCCACCTCGGAAGGATGGAAGGCTGAGTCAACCTTGACTGTGGAAAATGGTCATGTCCCTTTTTTCAGTGCTGCTGTAATTTTGAACAGTCATTAAATGAATGTTGTATGTTGAAGATTATCTGTAAAAAAAATTATCTGAAAAACAGTAATGTCTGAAACACAAGACAATTACCAGTTTTCCCCAATCTGCTAGCTTTCAGATAACATTGCATGTGCTGGCATGGAATGACTAAATTGTAATCTCACACATCTATAGTGCACTAAGTAACACACACTGCTGGAATTCAAGAAATGCTACTTTATTGCTGTGTAGTAAGAGATTTTGAAATCCAGCCCCAAATCCTCACTGTCCTTTTTAAAGATAACATGATCAAGATGGGATTGTTCTCTTTCTCACACTTTCTACTTCCTCAGGAGTCAGTAACTGTTTTTCCTTTCCTACCACTTTCTCAAGGCTAGAACTAACTTCATGAATAAAGACAGAGAAATAAAATCATCTATCTTCTTGCATATCATTAACCATTTCCAGGCCTCTTTACAAGCTTTTCTGTGAAAACTAAAATCATCTATCTTCTTGCATATTATTAACCATTTCCAGGCCTCTTTACAAGCTTTTCTGTGAAAAATAAAATAAGAACAACAATTCCAAATACTACAGTCCAAATTTCCTTATGGGAAATATAAGAAATATATAAGCCTTAATAGAAAGCTTTGGGTGCTTTGTCTAAAAAATTTTTTTGCATTTGTTGTGGAAATCAGAACTAATACAGTATTTCAACTGAGGTTGCCAGGACTATAGAATTCAAAACCAGACAAAGTATCAGAAAATCCATGGCAACATGCTTTCATATTAAGGGACACCATAATCACTGAATCGTGAAACACTTCTTCTACGAAAGTAGTTCAGCTGTATCTCTAAACCATGGGAATGAATGAACGCCAAGAAAATATGCATTAATAATTAAAAACAGAAGGAATATTCTTGAGTTTGGTGGCTGAGAAGGATAGATTTATAGTGCAGAGAAAAACATTATATACTGCTGTCATCTAGGTTTCTACAGTCTCGTCTGAGCAATTGAAGAGAGTTGGTGGGAATGCAGTTTACATGCCTGTCTACTAATGCAGCAGTAGTAGAGCAATTAAAAAAAACAGATGGGAAACACAGATAGATTTTTTTTTTGAAAGAGAGTATCCTTCAACTTAGATTGCTCTATATTTTGGGCTGCTGCTAAAAATAATAGTTTTGACTTGGAGAATTCCCAACAGAAGTAGCACATTCCTTATCATCACCCTCTTATTTATTTATTTTTTTCATTTTTTTAATAAAAGCAGTGTGAACCCAGAGAGAAACAAGCTGTGAAAAATGATGAGAAGCGGAGATCTTGCTACGAAATCCAACACATCATCAATATGCAAAAACATACCAATCTGTAACAATAAAGGTGGAGAAAAAAAACCTTCCCATTTTTCTTTAGGAACCAGATAAATGACAGCAAGTTTTGGGAAGCTGGGATATCTCTAAAAGTGTAGGTGTGCTTTCTTTTATCTTTCAATTGAGAACTGGAACGTGCAAAGGGATTATTAGGGATACGATAAGAGAAAAGTTATGGTCTGGATGAAATGTGTAACAGAATCTGGGAGAGTGAAGAGGAATCAGAATTGTTGCAAAAGACACACGATCCTATAGAAGCAGATTCAGAGCAACTCCATCTTAATTACGTTAGATTCACATTTCATAATGATGTTAAATTGAGTTGGGAACAGTTTAAAGAACCTTTCAAGATGCTGCCGTGTTATCCTATTAATAATATGATCTTCTTAATTATATAAGAATTAAATATATTTCCGTTCAGAATGCAGTTCCTAATGAAGGGATATTTTACTTC